GTTACCTCACGTAGGACGTACCTACCGAAACGCCAGAGCCAGTTGTTCACAAATGTCCGCCACAGAAGATGCGTAGAACAGGAGATCCGTCCAGCGTGCGAGTCTCGACGGCGACAGGTTTTTCAACACTTAAGTACTTAGATCGTGAGGAAAGAAAGGACTCTCAGAGAAATGGCGCAGGTCCCATTCTCGATGAACTCCCTGAATTTTCCGAAATTGAAAAATATTAACATTTGAAAATTACAATATTGATGCTAGGGATTTTTTACTTAATGAAATGTCATCTTCAAAGGTACGTCTTTAAATCAAATGTACATGTCAGGAACGGTTTTGCAAATATGAGCAGTTTTGAATAATTTTTGCAAATTTTCGAAATTACAGATTTGAATTGCTCGCACTTCTTTTGCTAAAAGCTTTCAGGTGTTATCCAAGTTGCAAAACACTGGGAACGCTGCAATACGGCAGTTTAAAATTCTTAGAATAACTTCTCATTGTTGGGCGGTGTTTCTGGGTGTACCGAACATAGTTTTGGGTTCTCGAATTTATGCCTATGTATTAGCTTTAAATGAATTTAAACCAGTTTAAACTTTACACAATTTATGTGGATAGAAAATATTTAATCATATGATTTTTTCTTTATTTTCATTACATTTGATTTTTAAAATATGAAAATGTCTTAATGTTTTCGATTGATTGAATATTTTGTATTCCCGGACGCATCAACTGCCATGACCATTAGTTCCGTATGTTTAGTGCATGTTTTATCATGTGGCTGTGTTCTTCCCGCTGGATAGCGAAATCCTGCACCAAGCTACATGTCACGCGTCGCTTTGCAGGGTTTCTCCATCTAGGTATCTCCCACAATGGGACAGTGCCCTTACCGGGCAAGCTTCAAGCTCCCGACATGTAGTAAGGTAGTGTAGGACATGTAAGTGAAAGTTAGGAGTGAGGAAGGAACAAGGAAGAGGAAGGAAGATCGCGCACGGTCCGTGACCGGTTTGTTAGGGTACTGCTTTAGCATTCGCCTGGCGTTGATCAGAAAATCGACGCAAAACTACCGATCAGAACAGCCGGCCGCTAGAATTCTCGTCCAGACAGCGCTTGAATCCGACCGAGCTATCTAGCTGATGTTGAATATCCAAATAAATTTAAAAAAATGTATTAATCTCTAATCCAAATTTAACGATATAATTTATTTCTGAAGAATGGAGAAATGAGTTCTGTTAATGAATTGAGGGAGGAGGGAATTTGTTTGAAATGAAGGGCCCCCGTGGATCAACTGCCTGTCGAACCCTACGACCTCCCGATCAGAGGCACGGCAGCGACATCAGTTGATGCTCTCAACCAGCTTAGTAGGTTTAAATGTTTTTGAACTTCCCTACTGGACTTGAATAATATTAATTTAGAGCTGTATCTAATGATTTAATGAATTCATAGATACTTGCTTCAACGATGATCTCACATGAAGACTATGATCGTTTACTTCATTTGTTAATCGCAATCATTAAGATTGTAACAGATGGCTAGACAACACTAAACTTGAAAAATTCTTAATTGATTTTTCACATGCTCACAAAAGAATGGCTCTTTTGAAAATTGCTTAAACAGCTTCCTCGTGAATCGTTATGAAATTGATAGGTTTTAGAATATTTGAGGAATTATTGAACAGTGTGTGCTGTACTTCAAGGGTTTGATGGAGGCTTGTGATGAAACGTATGTGATGTGTGGTGATAAAGTATAATATCCACACGTTTTCTGGGGCATGTACGGTGAACATAATTTCATGTACTGAGCTGCATCATGCATTTTATTGAATTCGATAACGTACGTCGATCTGTGCTAAAAGATGGCGATATATTTGAATATTTGAAGAAACAAAAATTGCTTTCAAAAGAAATTCCTTTATTTTCGTTTTCCAGACCTTTTGAATTTCCCGTTTTTTCTGTATTCAAGGATTCCAGGTTCGCATATCACCCTGTTCAATTACCATGTTGATTGAACTACATTTCTTGGAGCGCCCTTGCACCACCATCCCGGCCTCGAGCCCACTGACTTCATACTCCAGCCGAGTCTGCTGAGGGCGGCGCGGGCGAAGCGACTTGAACTCGGGATCAAGCGCCGAACCACACGCGAAGGGCCATGCCCCTTTTCGTTCTCGTCTTCGCCGCTGCCGCACAACCACAGCTACAGCAGCACGTTGCCTGCGCCGAGGGTATGGGGGACTCACGCAAAGGACGGCAAAATAACTCCGGGTCAAATCGGCAGTGTGGACAATGTAACCCAATGGTCATGCAGCTGGCATTTACCATTGTATGTATGTACTTAGGCACAATAGCTCTTTACGAGCTAAGGCCTACCAGCAGCGTCTCGGCCTCGCGGGGTACGTGTGGTTAGCACATAGCCACCCCTACGCCATATTCTGGTCTTTCATCCTGAGAAGTGAGCTTTCTTATTGAGACACAGCACCAGATACAGGGACATTGCAAGGAAAGCGCACAATAAATTTTGCCCCGACCGGGAATCAAACTCTGTTTTGGGCCGTGAAAAGCGAGCATCTAACCAACGAACCACCGAGGGCATGGCATTTACCATTGGATCTACCAAATATTGCAATAGCATGCGCTTTTTCATTCATTTCCAAAGACATGATTCAGTCGGAATGAGTCAAGGCAGATCATGTACCGATTGATCCTTACCGATGGTTTACGTAGATTCCCTCCTACATCACGTCATGTAGACAGATTCTTGGATCGTTCTAGACATGATCCAGTGTCTTGTCATGTGACATTGCTACAGAAAGGTGTCTGGGAGAAGCAGGGACGTAGAGAAAACCAGGCCCCTCAGGCAGTTGATCCACGGGGGCCCTTCATTTCAAACAAATTCCCTCCTCCCTCAATTCATTAACAGAACTCATTTCTCCATTCTTCAGAAATAAATTATATCGTTAAATTTGGATTAGAGATTAATACATTTTTTTAAATTTATTTGGAATGAATAAAAGTCGGGGCCACAATTAAGTCGGGGCCTGGGTCAAGTTGCCCCACCTGTTCCACCCCCATCCCCCGCCTCCTGGTCAGATCACTGGGTCGACTGTGTCCGGCACTGTAAGGAACATTCATCATATATCGCAATTGTGCGGGTAAATGAGCGTCGGTGGTCGCAAACTGCAGGTAAAACCTAACTAAACCTGCTTGCTCCCGATTTCCTTCACGAAACTGATTCGTGATTAACTGGTTCCTGAAGTCTTTGCGCGAAACCTTGCATCGAACAGTTTGTTACATATGTGAAGGTTTCACAGGTGAAACTTATCCAGCCAAGAGCGATAAGGGGTAAATTTGCGTGGGTAAAACTGAACGTGTTAGGAGCCTTCGGGCAATGATGAAACCTGACACGTATTGTTAACCCGAACGGTTACATCTGGCACTCGTCCGGGTAAATATTAAGTAAAACCTCATCAACACAAATTCCAAAGGACTAAAATAATCGAAATTCGTGTTGTAAATGTGTAAGTGCTTTAAATATTCTATATACCTTGTAGGTTTCCTTGCCGAGACCCAAATTTTGCTCGTGTTAACGCGGCTCCACATATGCAGCTGTTGGCGAACCCCGAGCAACCGTTCGACAAATCCCGAGTAGTGTGGACGGGTTGCTTGCGATTCGCTGTGCGCCGAGCATTCGGTATTCACCCTACCCACCGCGTGTCGGTGTTTAGGACACATCAAAGGGAGCGAACATTCGCCGAACACATCCGCTGTTCCGATTGGGCGAGCAGTAGCTCGCTGCCCGGCGAATGCCGCCTTCTAACGAGTTCTAACAAGGGTTTACTGTACACTCCTGGCGAAATGGAGGCTGCGGGGAGCTGTGGGCCCGCACCCTACAGTCTGCGCCACGGCGTTCGACCCCCCCCCCGTCCACCCCCACCTCCCCATGACTCTTCATTTCGTTTTCCGTGTGCCATCGTCCCTCTCGCGATCTGAAACATGCTAGGGCGCCGCCCGTCGGTCTCTAGCCCTTCAGTGGGGAAGGTTCCCTGTCACATCTATTTCCAACCTGTCGTCCCCCGTCATCGGACTGGGGGGGGGGGGGCTGCCGTTTTCTCAAATTTGAATGTCTTCAAACGTGCATGCGCTTATGCTTCTGATCGCTGTAATTCTACTAACTGCACGTTAATGACAAATCTATTCCAACTACCTCAGTTGCTCAGCGAAACAACTAAAACGAGCATTCTACTATAGAATTTGGAAATCTCGTAGAGGGAATATACAATTCTTGGATAATTCCAGACTAGGTTTTAAATATTGACATTTTCCCTGGAAGTAATAACTACTAATTAATTCCCATCTTAGGTTCAGAATATTTATTCTACATTCCTCCCATTATCTAAAAAGTTCATCACTACTATTTCATAAGGAAGTAAATCCGCCGACCGCTGTCACGGATCTACGGGCAAACGTAGGCGCTGCTGACATCAACTGAACCGAAGACAGGATGGCATCATGCAAGACGTATCTAGGTCCCGAATTCCCAACTCGACAAAATCATAGTCTTATCGTTTTATGTTAACATCCTCGCTGAACTCTGCACGCTGAGAGATAAAACGCGACAGGCCCAAACAGTGCATGGATGTACCACACGGTGACAGGAACCTATCCGGTTCCAATACACTGTACGAATAAATGATCAACGATGAATGAAAATTACGAAAATGAATCATTTCGGAAATCAGTGTAAACAAAAAGTTTCGTGACATGTAGAAATGTCATATTTTATGTCAAATCTGCACCATCGTTTTCATTTTTAGGGCGTTTTCTGCATAAACGTCTAAAAATCCCAAAAGCAAAATTCTGTACACACAATGAACGTTTTTTTCACATTCTTATAAACTGCACATTTTTGTGGTAATGTTTCATTATTATTTCATATTTTCATGAAAGACGAAATACGGACATCCGCCCATGGACACACAGAATGGAAAATATGGGTACAAAATTTACACTTACCAACGTGTGCTGGTACCCAAATTCATTTTGAACGGCTAACCGTTGCATGTGAGACATTTTCCTGACAGTGTTGAAGTCAGGCCGATGATCGTATGTAACACACTCACGAGGCACTCAGTTAACACATTACTACCACTAACCACGGAACGAACTGTTCTGAGAGTATTGCCACACACCTGCCACCTGTTGGTTCTTAAGAATACTAAGAAATAAGTCAAAACAAATGCTGTATGTTAAAAGTTTTATATGATCCACGTTTTAAGTTTTTGTTAAAAATAATATCATCCTTCTTTGCGTAATTAATGTGAATAAAAAATAATTTTCTTAAGTAATACTTTTAAAACATTTTCTTAGCTTTATGAATTCATGTTTTGTCAACAACTTCAAGGCAGAATGGCAGAAGGAAATGTAACTGAAGAAATAAGTAACACTAAATTCATTATACAAAATAATAGATATGTAGTATGAATAATATTAATAATAGTGTTATGCAACAGAATTATGTAATAAAATATTTAAATGTATATAATTCTTAAAACTATCCATAAAAAGAAGACATCACACAAAATGAAAATAAAGAAGCTACTTGAACCACTTTCAATAAAAGTAAGTTTCCATGTAAGTAATAACAAAATCTTTTGAAAAAGTATTTTATTTCTATAAAGTTTGTACAAAAATGGAATTATATTTCCATTCATTTTTGTGTAACTTCAATTGCTCAATTTTCTCGTCAATTCTCAGGAATCGTTCCATAACCACTGTGTCAACACAGGCAATTTTTTGTATTCAGATACTATAATCCAACTACAAAGGTCTCCTCTGAAAAACCTTAAACAATACTGCAAGGTACTTTGACACACAACATTGAATAATGCATTGCACTTATAAATTTAATAACAATGGAACAAGTCATACAGAAAAATGATTTGTTTTGAAGTTTTTACTGATTTTCAATTCTATGTCAGGAATATTGCACAAGCCAATGTCCAATGTATGGCACAATGAACATTCACAGGGATGTAGGACTAAAGGTGAGGATAAAGACTGTGAAAGCTTGATTATCAGAAACAGTATCTGAACTTTACATTCTCATAGAAATTGTTAAAATCAATTATACACTCCCCTTCCCAAAGGGACACAAAACAGTTGAAAATAGACATATCTCAGACCATATTTTCAAGATGTTTACAAATGACAAGTCACATAACAATATAATTTTTATTTTTTATTCTTGTACAGAAGTTAAAATGCAATATGTTGTATACATGGTAAAATGCTAATACTTCCAATTATAACTGAATATCTTCAATAAATTAAAATACAGTTTCCCATACACAACACATTCCAGCAACCAATGAACATTACATATTTTACATAAATATTCCATATCATTTTATCAAAGACAATATAAAAAACAGCATTGGAAGATTTTTAAAGAAACTTGAAAATAATGCCATATCTGGTTGCAAGTGAGCATACCTTGAAAAATAACTGGAACTTTCTTTCCTTAGAAACTTTTACATTTATTCATGGGTATTTCTACCTGCATGCAATTCACACACATACACACATTCCATTAACAAGGAAATGGACCAGTGTAAAGATAGGACAGAAATTCACTGTTAGTAGAAAAATAATCCATTCTATTTTTGGGCAGGAACTTTCATTATTAATAAACCATAATTTCAGATACTGCAATGGTTTTAACAGTTCTAAGGAAGTGTTGCAATAGTTCACATAAATCCTATTTCCATTCTGTGAAATTTTAGCATATTTGATACTATCAGGCACATTAGTTTCTGTACAAAAAGAGGAGGGGGGACTACTTTCATTTGAATATGAAAAGGCACATTCATTGGCAGGTCATAATTCATGCAATATTCTAAAAATAATTAAATGTATTTGCATATTTTTGTCAATTCAGTAGCAATAACTTGCATAGTCTAACAAATTTTTTCTAAACAATTCCTGAATTCACCGGTTTCATGAACTTTTATCAGGAAACAACATTAAATTATATACATATTAATATAGGATAGTAATGTCCTGGAAATAGGAATAATGCATTTAGAAGATGAAAGACATAACTAATCCTGCAAAATTTCCAATTTCCACTATTAATCCAAGAAGAGTCATAAATGGATTACATACATTATTCCAGAGAATCACCATCAAGAGGATGTAGGAACCAATTAAATTACACTTGTTCAATATTGTATCATCTTATTTCTCATCACATCTGTATAACATCAGCATATAACAATTTGAAAATGGGATTTGTTTCTGGTTGGAAGAAAATGTTTGGAAGAAAACTGCCCAAAATGAAAAATATTAGCTAAAGGACACCAACTGACTAGATTTTTCTTAAAGTAATTCAAAGTATACCAGTAACATTTATTTCCCAATCAAAATGTTCATAATATCAAATGCTTAGTTGGGTCAGTGTCCACCATCAGTGAATGATTCAATATAGGTTTAAGCAATCATTGGGCATCAATTCTAAACACCCGCCTGCTGTTAAAAAAGGTTTAGCAGGTTATTTGTGCTAGACACCAGAATCACAAATTCTTAAGCACCAAGTTTACATTCAATGATCATTTTAGTCATTGATAAATATAATTTGAGTACTGAAGCTAAAAAAGTGAATTAATGTAAGAAATAAATCTATATTATTCATTAACTGAAATGCATTACAGTTGAATATTGATATAGATAAAGGCACTATGTTAAGAAACATACAAAGATACAAAAATAGACAACCATTCTGGAACTATAAGAACACACCATACCCCTGACATTTAACTTCCTGTATAATTACAGCCTTACAACTGATATCAGCAATTAATAAAGTAAAAAGATTTATTCTTTTGGCAATAAAGGTATACACTGCTCATTCTTTGCCAATTCTCAAAACCAATCTCGGTAATATCCTTAATTTGGTGCAGGTGTAACAACAGCTTGTTGGCCAGAAGCAGCAGTGGCAGCCGGTGCAGGGGTTGGTTCAACTGGGTTTGTGGAGGTGGAGCTGCTATCTTCCCCTGAATATTTTATTACCAAGATGACTGCAAAAATATCACAACAAACTCAATGCATTAACAAAAAATAATAACTCAAGTAAAGCACATGCTAATTTTAAAACAGGTTACAAAACAACAGTTTACTGAGATTATTCATATTCAGATTTTTAAAAATGAATTTACAGTAAAACACTTTGTGGCTTCACTTATTTTCAATGATAAATAGCTCCATGAAGATAATAAACAGGATAAGCTAGTTGCCAGTGTGAACAAATTAAACACATCATTGTTTTAAATGAGACTTGACTTGTCTGTGAAATCTTTAACAAATGAACTTTCAAATGCAAGGTACATGACAAACAGAACTGATAGAGAATAAATCATTAATAGAACAATTCCTTACTGTGTATAAAAACAAGTTTGCTTGGCTTTATTCCCCTTCTATAGGTCACTTACAATTTTTTTTCTTTCAAATTTTCACGGTGATCTCTAACATACTCGCACATAAATTCACAGCTATTGTTAGAATGATACAACACAGCTTTGTTGATCTGATGATCACTAATTTCCCAGCAATTCCACTATTATTTGATACTCATCATATACCAATATTTCATTTATGTCCATAAGATAGTACATACAACAACTAGGTTATAATGGACAACCAAATACAATAACCGAATTTTTCTTTCATAATATATTTCCTATCCAGTACAAAAAACAATGAGCCAATTATGAAACTATGCCTACATTAACAAATAAACATACTATATCACATTTTTTACACAAAATCAGTTTTGATTACTAATACAAATTTACTTTTACAGCACTGGATAAATATTTTAAATTAAATGTCTGTATTAAATGAACTTTTGCTACCACCTATTTTTAAGGTTCATTTGCCGGACACCTCTTGAATTCAAAAGGACTCTACCCTCAATTAGTTGCACACGGCTATCATGAACCCCAGCTCTTATTTATTGATGCTTTCTCAGTTGCTATTAAAATTGAAGGACTGTTTTCCCAGTAACTTTATTATGTTCATCCCAGTAACTTGTAAGTTTATCTTCCTCGGGTCAGTTGTCATATTACCACGTCAATGGCAAGTATCAGAGCTCTTAAAGGAACGTTTCTCAGTATTAATGGTTTTATTTCTTATGGTAATTTATGGTTCACAGCATCTGCAACTACTTCAAATACTACAAAATGTTGTCTTTGCTACATGCACACAAAATCCTCATAGGAAAACTAAGAACCAGTTTTATACACACAGGTTTCCATGATACATCAATATCATTTTACTACATATTTGCTGAGTTAGTTGAGCACCCAAGTTTATTTTGCTGAAGAACAAGTGCATAAAATCCTTTAAACTATACTCAAGTCTTTTGTAACTTATTTATAGATACTCTGCCCCGAGGCAAAAGGAAACTATGCCACTACATTCTAAAAAAAATTGGAGGAAAAAGAAATAGATATAAGAGATGAAAATCTAGGAATAAAAATAAAATTAAGCAAAGCCAAATTTTACTACTCAATTGTAAATGATTGTTATGGTACCCTCTTTTTTTTCTTTCAAAGAAAAAAAATTCTAACAATTGAAAAGGAGTTCATTTGTAAAATATGAAACCATTTAATTTCAAACAAATGTCAAAATTCTTAATTATTAAATTAGAAGCCACAAGAAATTAAAAGAGTGGTGGAAATTTTTTATTCCCATTTCTCATTCACTTGACTGTCATCAAGTGCGGTGTGGTCTCATCCCATAAATCCACAACGCGCACACATTCACACCCAATATTCCCATTCCACAAATTGTTACTCTCATGTTTGTTCCACTGTTTGTTAAAACAAAGAGAAGGTTAGAAAATCCCATGCACACATTAGCATTCCTCATGCAAGGACGTGGAGGGAACAGAGGCCATTTAATGTAACAATATCATAGATATGTGTATCTTGAAAGAAACGTACTTTGGAATGGACCACTAGAGGCATTTGATACTGAAAAACCATTGATATTGAATGTATATCAAAGGTGAAGAGGCTCAAATTAACTAAGATTACTGATGCAGTTTCCACAAATTCATTCACAACCAAGATTCCAAAATGTGAAGAAGACATTTCAAAAACTGTACCCAAAGGCAGATAAGACACTTTCGCCATAATATAATTCTAAAGATAAATCAGTTTTCTCGAATACCATGTATTGTCATCATGAACAATTTTAGACTCACCAATAATGATCAAAGCCACAGCAATGACACCCATTATGATCATCATCTGAAATCAAAGTGTTTAAGAATTTTTAGGTTCTATACTTTCTAACATCAGTCCCACCCAAAATAATATTAATACTTTACATGAAGATGGCTCATTGATACCCCATTTCTTAGGAAAGTAAGAAAAGTCGCAGTACCTACATTTCCACTTTCACTCATCTGAAAACAGTCACTTTACTTCCAAATAAAAAATCTGACTTATTGAGACAATTACACGTCAAACTGAAGTAAAGTCCAAACCTTGAAGAGTCAATTACTTGCTTGTGAAGAATTTACGAATACACAATTAATAACAATTAACCATCTACTTCATCATCATTCATTTTTATCAATTTTTTTCCGAATGCATATAAAGAAAAGTACATGTCTCTTCCCTAACACATTCCCATTCTTTAGCCCATTTTGTACATTCACAGGATACAATACAGATGCAAATCTGATAAAAGACAAATTCATGTTTCTGCTGAATTTTCATTTAACTCGCCAGTGAGAGTAAAAAAATTGAAATGTAGCCAAAACACAAGGTTAGTGTCTTTTATTTAATGCATAATAATGGTAAAGAACCCTCAATATTAAATTTGTATCCAACTTCAATATCATGATCATTTTCAACTCATGCTACACATGCTGATTTACTTACCTTTAAATTTTTCCACCAAAACTTCCTCTTTAGTTTATTTGCCTGCTGTTCAAACTGGGATGCACCTTGTTGCAATGCATCTGAAAGTTCACCAAAAAGTTTTCAGACATTATAATAAATTATATATTTTCAGTTCATCAAAATGTACCATATTTCTTCAATATAAGGTCCCCTTACATAAATGCACCCCTCCCTCCCTCCAGTTTTTGCATGAAAATTTCAGAAAACTTTGCTATTTAATGTTATTTGTTGCAGTAATGTGGTTTAAAATTACTAATTCCTTGCAACTTTCATTGTCAGTTGATCTTAAGAAAATCCCAAGTGAACTGTTGGAAATTAAAATATCTATCCATTTGCAACATTTATTGAAAAAGAAAATTTTAGAAAAAATATTTTTCTTAATTTCAATATAATTTCAAGGGTCTTATATTTGAGAAAAGAAGAATTCACTTGTACACATTGTTCTAGATAGAAAGTTGTGAGAAATAGATAGCCAAATTCACATAATCTACACCTTGTACCAATTAAAAAGAAACAAACTGCAGTAACAATCTGGAAATTGCAAATAAATGTGTGTGAAGCAAAGTGATTTATCTGAGAATTTCTAAAGCACGAGTCTTATTTAAAAGGAATTTTCCATGAATGAAATTATGCCCAACAGTTCCAAAATGCACTAAATATCAAAAATAACAAATCATGTCAAAATCAAAGAGGTTATGTTATTAGTATATGGGTGGTTTACTGCACATCAACACCGCGACTGATACCGCTGCTAAGACAGGTGAGTCACAGCTGTACTGGTCAGTAGGGAGGGTTGGTAAGAAAAATTGGATAGAAAAAGCAATGAACGTTTTTAGATACGCCGCCTTGATTGGTGCATTTTATACGTATAGTTAAACATTAATGGTTTTTAATTTCATGAGTGGAACAGTCAAAATCAAAAGCACCTCTACAAAAAATACCACAGAATGCATCTATTTTAGCAAAGGAAATGCTGTTTTGTTAAAGGAACTCAGAAGAAAAAAAACTCAATCGAAAAAATAATGTAAAATATGTACCGAATGCCCAAAACAGAAACTTTTTCCTTATAACCAGGTAGTTTAATCATTTCACTTTCAAAATAAATTTCATTTCATGGTTTTACTCTCATTCCACTAGCATTACAAAAATTATAAAACTTCCAAATTAACTTTAGTTCAGATTATTTACTTAACACAAAGACGACGTGATTGAATGCATTGAATTACTTGCAATTGAAAAGTAACATTGAAAAGGACCTCATAGTTGAAAGAAATAAATATTTCGACATTGTATACACCCATTTCAAACAAAATATTACGATTTTTTTGAGAAAATGACAATTCATTGTTAAAGATTTCAATAAAAACCTCAAACGAAGAGGCCTTTCCCCAACAATAAAAACATCACACCCATTAAACGTTAATAAACCAACATAAAATATTTCAATAAGCATGTTTTAATTTATTAAAGTGACAAATTGTTTTAATTTTTCTTTTACTGTAATTTGACCATTTTTGGCTGACCTTGTGCAGTAAACCTACATAGATAGGAACAAAGAGATTACCTCAATTATTCATACCTACCAGCACGGTTATCCAATTCGGAAAGCTTTTGGTCTCGTTCAAGAACCTTCTCCACATTTACACGCATAATTCCAACAACCTGGAATACAAATTCAATTACATCAGTTTACAAACATACTTTTTATGTCTAACAACAATCAAGAACAAAGATTTTTTAAAGAAAATCAATACCAAACAACAAGAATCATAAGTGCTGCGGTAGTTAAACTACTGAAATCGGGAATTGCTTATAAAACATTAAGTACCTGAATCTATTTTTGCAGTTTTCAATCTAAAACTGGTAAGTAAAAATGTTAGTATATCTTTCCCAGTATTTGTATTGATGCAAGGAAACAAAAGTATTCATACATTCGCATTACAATTAATAAATAATAATTAAAAATATGTGCACTTTTAGAATTTTACTTCTCTCCACTATATGCGATGTTCACACCCTTAGTCTAGTTTTAATTTTGAGGATTCCCAAAACACCCACCTCTTCCACCTGTGCTTGGGTTTGTTGCATGCGCTTCTGAGCTGCCT